GAACAAATAAGCCTACTTTCAGCGATTAATTTGAAAAAATGTCACTTTTGACATGTAGCGAAAGTCACGTGACCCCGATTGAGTAGGCCATTTTTCATCTTGTCTGAAACAAGACATAACGTCCAACTCGAATTTCAAAATGAGTCATTAATAAAAGTTTTTTCAATATGATGCCGAATGATTGACACTGTATTAGTATCCAAGGTTTAGAGAAAGTCTAGAAAAAATGAACGTCAACAGGACGTCCCTGCAACGTCATGAAACTGACGTCTTCTTTTACCCATCTGAATGACGTTCACTCGACGTCGAAACGATGACGTGATTATCACGTCATAGAAAGTACGTCATAGTGACGTCATAAATTGGTGTGTGACGTCTATGACGAAAAAATCACCAATTAGGGACGTCACAGTGACGTGATCATTCGTCATCTGGTTGCCTGGGTATATTCAATTATTCTTGAGATATTGCGAAACAACTATTTTTATTTCTTAACTTCACGCCCTGTATCTTGAGAACTGAACAATTGAAGACCGTATATCTCTATCTCAATGATTATGAAATCACGAGGGCTATCACCTGTCAGGCGTTGTCGGTCGAATTTCGCAACACCCTGTATATTATGGAAGAAAAAGCAATAAAAGTCTCAAAGTCTGTCGACCACGAAAAACTAGTTTCGGCCATAGGCCATCATCAGACACAGTAATGATGTATTCGAAAGTATCTAAAAGATAATTATGGACATAAAAAAGAGTCAAAGAGTCGGTATAGGTACTAGCCTCAGCAATACCTATTAAGAGCAACAAAATCAAATCAAAGGCCTAGGTCGAATTTCACAATATCAGTGTTCCAAATTTAATCCTATTTTGAATTCAGGACTGAGAATACTTGATCATTCTGAGGATGCTCTATACCTATATTCAAAGAATGTTCTGTGAATATTCGAAATCTTCCACGGGAATATTCTTAGAACGATCTTAAAATCACTTTGTGCTGTTTGGGTTGCTACACGGAAAAAAAGAAATTGTTGAATCAAGCAAAATTTAATTGGATGAAGCAAATGAAAGTGTCATATATGCACGAAGTTTGAATTGAGTAAATATGTCTTGAATGAACTCTGGATCTTATTCAATCAAGCACATCCTTGAATTATTCATGGAGAGATATCGAAAATAACAAGATATGGATTCAATCAAATATTTAGTTTATTCAATGAGTTATTTGGTTGATTCAATGAAATATTTGCTTAATTTAATGAAATATTTGGTTAATTCAAAGAAATATTTTGTTGATTCAATGAAATATTTCGTTGATTCAAGAGAAATTGTATTTTAATTCGACAAATTGTTTTTTCTCCGATTGGCAGCAAATATTAATTTTGCTGACACATATCAATCAGCAAAGTATTACTTTTCCTGCCTAGGCAGCAAAGTGGTTACTTTGCTGATTGATATGTGTCAGCAAAATCAATAATCCATAAATCGTTTATAATTTCCATCATATTTCATCCGAGACTTCTCCGGCAACAAATTCAACTCTATATTTTTTGCCACCTCCCTTATTTCTGAAGGAGTAAGTATACTTCCAGGTCGCTATCACTGTCCATTATATAATCATTTAAATATACCGATATTTTTTCGCACAACTGTCAGAAATTTCATGAATTGTCAAACTATAATTTTTATGGACATTTCCATACCAACCAACCATTCCAACAACTGCGATTTCTATCAAATTTCATTTTGATTGAACACTACAGGAAAATAAAGAGATTGTGGGAATCGTAATAATTTGCAAATACAATATCCTCCTATATCATTATGAACAATCGGAGAAAAAATTATATGTTCAACTCGGCAGCAAAGTAGATTGACTGCCTAAGCTGTATTCCTAGCCTCGCTACGCTCGGCTATGAATTCAGCCTCGGCAGTCAATCTACTACTTTGCTGCCTAGTTAAACAAATAACTATTGTTGAATCAAATTCAGTATTAATTCGGGAGTTTTCTGAAATTTCACATCGAAAGAATAAACTAAACTAGGAAACTAGTCGACTTCTAGCATAGATCTCCAGTCTTCACTTCCCTTCAGCTGATGCAAAACTATTTCGGATTGCTATTCATCCTAAGTTCGATTTATCCAGCTGATATTTCAAAGACGAAGAATCCGGCCTCACGTCTATAATGAATTCAAGGCATGCATAGACGAGGCGAAATGATCGCCATCTAGAGGCAAAAATGGAACTTGATGTAGAATGAACAATATATTTCATTGATATTATATATTTCGTTGCTCTATTCAAGCAAATGATCCGTTCGAAACGAGTTCATTGCTACATCGGAATAAGAAAATTTGTATGTTGTTTCAAAGATATATTCTCATCAAAACGATCATTATTTAATCAAATCAACAAAATGTTCATAGTTGAATCAACATCGACATTATTTTGGATCGACATAATTTGTTCTTGAGAAAACCATATATTTTGTTGATGGAATTGATATTATACTGTTGATCCAATTAGACCACATTCTTGATTTGAACAAGATGCTTCAATGACATAATCATGTGTCTAGTTGATTCAACAAAAAATTGCTCAGTTCAACAAAAATAATTCAAGCATAAACCAATGCTTTTTTTCCGTGTACGCATTCTTTTAATAAAATTATCTCGAAAATTATCGTCGTCATTATTCATTGCGTTGGCATTGTAATGACTGGTAATGCCCCTTAATTTTTATATGAGCCATTGTACACCATGTTTGGTCGTTCAATTGAAGTGATAAGTAATGTTTTTCTTGCTATTCAAGCCAACCTTTTAGGCAGACGATTTTGTCCAACTTTGAATCCTATTTCATCCAATAGGCATATGGGCGTACCTGTGATCATTTTTGGCTTTCCAGTGACGATTTCTTTTTATTATTAATCTATTGGTTTTAATATTTTGGTCCCTTTTTGGTTGCTGCCTTTTTTTTCAACTAAGAAATTATGAATCACCCTATGAGATAACTCGATTGTCGAAGTATTATATATCGAAGTTCATGCATGACTTTTGATAAAAACATCTGTGTAACTTAATACTTCGAAAAAAATACCTACTCCTATGCATAGTAAAAAGAAATTATACAGAGCTTATCCACACTAAGTGGACTGTTTTTTTCGATATCAATCAAAAATAGTTATTTAACCAACTAGTTTATTAATCGCTTTTTAATATACAAGTTGGTTACAAAATTTTTCCGTCGACTATATTTCTCATTTCTCCTGCAATGAAGAAAACTTGGTTCGCGAATTCATCATTCATCTGGAAACTGCTAAGAATCACCCAGTAGCCTTGTCACTGACATTAGTGTCATTTGACATTTGTCGAAATGATCAACATAGAAAATAAATTCCTTGTGTTAGAAAACAGGGATTAAAATCGTGTCAGAAACTTGGAAAGGTGAACCCGTTAACAGAAAATCTTCAATGAAATCCATATTTTCGATTTAAATGCAGATTCCGTAAGTTATAGCATAAACAATGAATGCACGCGGTGTATGTTTGGTTGCCTATAAAACAATCGTACATTAATAGACAAATCGTTCATTAATAGGGGTCATTAATGAACGATTTCATATAATATAATATTAAACTTAGTCGTTAATACGAGGTCGACGGAAAAGTTCATTTATAATAATTAGATGATTAAACCATCAGACAACACATTTCTAGGTACTTTTATCGATGGTATACATCATGTCAGTAAGAAAGTGAACAGTGGGTACTGTGCTATTAGACAATATTGAGGTCCACTTTCAATAAGGCTCAACTTCTAAATGTTTACTTTGCTGTTGTATATTCCCATATTTCTTAAATAATGCCATGGGGACGTTCGCCAAAACCAGAGATTATAGTGTATAATCTCTGCCAAAACGCAAAATATTTGTCTCACAGGAAAGTGTCATACGGCTAATATATGGAATAGACTACAGTAGGGCTGCGCGATATTGGATTTCAGTTATCGGTTATCGATAAGTTGAAATTTATCGATAAGTTCGATATATCGATATATCGATATTTATCGATATATCGATATTTATCGATATATCGCTATTTATCGATATTTATCGATATGTCGATACTTATCGATATATCGATATATCGATATTCATCGAGGATCTTTTCAATGGATTTTGGAATATGACGTGGTGGAATGAGCTCGCTGTGAAAAATTATTGATTCTACCTAGAATACAGGGTCGTGTTACTCGTGTTTCCTTTGAAATAACGGTGAAATCGGAAGTCATAGGAGTACGCAAATAAATGAGCTGCAGTCTGCACTAGCTGCAGAGCCACCGTCTACCAATAAAAAAAGTTTAACAATGCATGTTGTATCACATGAATCAAGATAAATCTAATCCGCCGTGTCTTTTTCATTAACTTGATTGAAGCGCCTACCACCTACCTAATTAGTTATAAATTCATTTATTTTTAGTATGTTATAAGTAATATACATATATTAGTATATTGTTCAATAAGCATGGAATGATAGTGATTTTCCAGGAGAACGAAGTTTGCAGCATGAGTCGTAGGCGAATGCTGCGATCATTGGAGTGGAAAATAAGCATTCCGTGCGAGTTATATATATACCTACCTCCAGTATAAAACCTATAATTTTTCTACTATACGGCTGTAACAGATAACGAGATAACAGCGGCATTTTTTATTTCTTCGTCTTGTAGCTATCTGACTTCCTCTCAAGTTATGCTCAACTATTAGACAGAGCTGTCATATTGATTGAAATTTTACATACCATGAGCGATGAGATTAATTTGAAATAATAATACTATGGAGTCATTATTGTCATATCAGATACGGAAATGAAATTCATGACATACAATCATACTTAAAGTAACACAGTAAAACAAGAGCAATATCGTGTTATAGCCGTAGAAAAACATTATTTCCAAACAATAACAGTAAAATCACTATAAAAACAGACCGGTAAGTATAGGTACTTACTTGATTTTTTTCTTTTGATCGAAAACGAACTAAATGGAATGTTCAGACCTCAGACACCGGTTTTGTTTTAAATATTGCTGTTCTGTTCTCGTACCGCTCGCCACATTCATAGACAAGCTTCCGATGTTGCCAGACTTCGTGCTTTAGTTGAAACATACAGAATGTTTCAAAATTCGACTACCAAAACATATAGATTGAACAATCCCTTGCAAAAGTGTCAATAACTCGATATCAGAGAAATTGTTGATCCCTTCAGTTTGTAGGCTTAATTACATATGACTCTGTACTCAGCCTTTACTCATAATATGTAATAATATGAATAATTCTTATGGCCTCCCAGGCAATCAGATTACGTTCCAGTGACGTCATTTTTACGTCACTTGAATGACCAAGGTGACTTCAGTAGTTGACGTCGCATGACGTGATAATGACGTGAATAAGTCACAGCCCAATGACGTCATATTACTCACGTCCGACTGACGTCATAATGACGTCAAAATGACGATTAAATTTGGCGATGATACGTAAAAAAGATTCCTTTAACATGGTGTGATAAACACCACTGGCCTCTGATGACATTATATAATATTGAATATGCATTGTTGAGTCTGCTCGGTGGGTCCCTCCTGTGTCAGGTTCATTCGATCGCCTATTCAGCCGCGCTATCCTCCTGTACGCATCTCCTTCAGAATGCAATCAGTTACTCGTCTTTGTATAAAAAATTATGTAGTTTGTGTCGACGAGATGTAAGCAAACAAAGAATAGTTTGATAGCTATGGAAAGGATGTTGGCGAATTTGGCTTCACTTTGTTGATTAATGTATATTGATGCATTCTTTGTCACCCAACAAAAATCTAAATAGCAAATTATTGGAAAATTTCCTGAATGACGAAGCTCACCAAATTGGTACGTTACACCGACGTGATTTTTAGACGTCATAGATACGTCACTGCAACGTCATAAGAGTAACGACGGTTTCAATATAGGTATACCCTCGGGTATACCTAATCAATCATTTGTATATATACATAGCTTGTTGGTTTCCGAGATATACAGTGTGTCAAGGTTCTTTGGAAAAAAGCTTTCTCCTACTTGTCGGGTTCATTAATAATTCCAATATAACTTGCATGTTGATTTGCTTTCATGAGCTATACTTCTGTTTCACATAATAATATTTAAGTATCCATGGTTTAGAGAAGGTCTGGGAAAAACGTCATGAAACTGACGTCTTCTTTCACCCATCTGAGTGACGTTCACTCGACGTCGAAACGATGACGTGATTATCACGTCATAGGAAGTACGTCGTAGTGGCGTCATAAATTAGTGTGTGACGTCTGTGACGAAAAATCAACAATTAGGGACGTCACAGTGACGTGATCATTCGTCATCTGGTTGCCTGGGCAATAACCCTGTAAATTCCATATACAGTGTGACCCACTTCTAATGGAACCACCCCTGTATCTTACGTAATCGTTGGGTAAGGTTTCTGAAGTTTGCTGGAGCGAGAGATATACCAAAGATGCACTCTATGACTTAGTGGGGTCATCTTCAGTAATATACACTGCTCGCCAACAGCCACGAAACTACCTCAATTTTCGGAAAATGATATTAGGAGTCAAAATAGGTCGAATATCACTTCAGATTCGGAATCAGGACGCCCAATTTACTAACTATTCAATTTTTCCTGGAAAATATTCAGTTTGGAAAAATGAAATTTGGTCGCATTTTTTATGGAAGCATTCCCTTATATCACCTAATTGACTCTATCTTTGGACTTTCTCTTCCTCCGGCAAATTTCAGAACCCTACCTCAATAGTTACGTGAGATACGGGGGTTCTTCCATGAGAAGTGAGACAAAATTTAATTTTTCTGATCTGAAAATCTTCCAGGAAAACTTTGAATAGTTAGTGACTTGGGCGTCCTGATTCCGAATCCGACGTGATTTCCAACCTATTTTGACTCCTAATATCATTTTCCGGAAATTGGGGTGGTTTCATGGCTGTTGGCGAGCAGTGTATATCACTGAAGATGACCCCACTTGGTCATAGAGTGCATTTTTGGTATATCTCTCGCTCCAGCAAATTTCAGGATCCTTACCCAACGATTACGTAAGATACATGGGTGGTTCCATTAGAAGTGGGTCACACTGTATATTGGATAAGGGGATGCAGAGAATGCAGAATATAACTCGAATGTGTAGTGGGGACAAGACAAATCAGATCCGAAATGTCACTGCGTTTCAGTTATTTACCTAGCAAGTGCGGAAAGTAGTAGTTTTTCGAACGCGACTGCAGTAGCACGACCGACGCGGAACGGAGGTGGAAAATACATTCTCCGCAAGAATTCGGCACAATGTTTTTCATACGAGTGTTTTTTCCATATTATTTATGAACAAAAAAAAAAGGTTTTTAATATACAAGATATTATAATGATCCTACAAAATGGCACATGAGACAGAATAGTTACATTGATCATTTAGTTAGTCCTATACATATCCTCATTATAAACGATACAAAATATGTGCGAAAAACTAACTTTTCAGCACTAGTGCAGTAAAACCAAATCGTACGAAAAAGTACAATTTTCAAAACGAAAAATCGTGCGGAAATTTTACATTTTTGCACGCTCGTAGGAAAGAAAATTTACCTAACAGAGTGCAAAAAAAATCAATCAATTGACAGTGGCCCTTAGTTTCGAAAACTGTTTGAAGACTGGAAATATAGATATATCGAAAATATATCAAATTTGTACTTATCTTATTTGGACGTTTCAGGAACGAACTTGCTCCGGTTTTCAACATAAGTATACAAAATGGAAAATGGTGTTCTCTCGATTTTCAAACAGAGTGACATTTTGGAACGGACTATCTGTCTTCACTTCAGGTACACGTATATTGAAATAATACAGATTTTAATTTTATAGAAACGAGATAATCCCAAGAAATCTGGAAAAATATTAATGTAGCACTTCCTTTTATGCATAAACGTTTTATTAAATTATGTGAATAATTTATCATTGGAAAGTTTCTTTGAAACTGCTCAATAAAAAAGAAAATATTATTACAATATTTGCAATTTTCGATTCTTTCCTCGTATAGGTGTTCCCAAGAGACTAAAGCAGATTTTTGGTCTTATATTATTGACAATCTCGAAATACTTTCCTATTTTCTAATTGCTTCCACTATCTCGATGAATATAGGTATACCAGACCAGCATGTCCCTCAAGGTCGGCCAGCGGCTGTACATATCTCAGGAACTAAGTATTTTTTTGTACCCATACCTATCGAAAAAAATGTAACTTCGAGAAGCTATAGAAATTGACTTTTCGTGACTCTTCTTCTCATGATTTTTATAATTGCAGTTTGAAAAACGAAAAGAACGTTTTTATAGATAGCCAAATTGAAGAAAAGTAGAAAATAAAATGATAAAAGTGTGTTGATGAATACACAGTGCAGAAAATACTGATTACAAGGGTGCTAAAATGTTTTATGCACTTCAGGGATTTAAAGGGTAACTTTATTCCCTATTTTTGGTAAAAGAAGTGGTACTATGAATCCCTAGGGGTTTAAAGTAACTCCGATCACCATACCATAGTCACTGATGTAGTTGATATGGTAACAATCAACCCCTTTGATGACGTTTTAGAAATAGAGTACCTACCGTTTAGTGGCATTTGATTTTTTGTCATTTTTAACGTTTCATTTGAGTGCATAAAAAGGCATATACACTATATATAAAGTGTTTCCAGATCCGTCGACAAATTATAGCCTTCCCGTTTGTCTAGGGATTTAAAATACGACTTTATTCCCAAGGTGTATAATGTACTATCATGATAAGTATTCATCAACACACTTTCATTAGGTATTCTATTCCCAACTTGTTTTTAGTTTGATCATCTATGAAAGCGTGCTGTTTTAGTTTTTCAGTGTAAATTTTATTTTCTATTTTTCTGTTCGGCCAACTACAAAAGGATGTTTTAATTTCATTTTCCCTCTCATTTGTAACTACCGCCCCGCAAAAGAGTGTTTTTTTTTTACTTTCTGATCAGACTAATGGAATAAAACTAAGAAATTATACTATTGTCATCGGTACTTGATGAGTATGCGAAGTTTCAATTTAATTCGACGATTTGAAGGGAGTCAAAACCACCCGTCTTTCTAGATGTAACTATTCATACGAGTACTTGGTGCTAGGCACTGCCGTGTCTCTCGATATAAAAACATTGTAAACAGTTATTCGAAGGAAAACGAACTTTTGAAATTTTGGTGACGGAAAATTTTGAAGTTTGGGTGGCGGAACATCATTCAGCACCATTTTATTCTAGAAAAAAACAATCGCTCATCCTTCCAAATTTCTGATTTTCTATGAGAAAATTTAATTTTGTTTCTGTGCATCCGGTTTTCTTATATATCTTAGCTGGGACGGCAACAGTGGTTTTATTAGGAATTCCCCCCCTCTCTAACTTCAGCACCACGTGAAAGCATATTATCGTCACAGCTGACCACACAAATTATCGTGGTCAACTGGTCAAATATTTGTCGTCACACGCAGTGTTGCCAGAGTCGGTACGTTCGCACCGAATTCGGTACTTTCGGTAACGAAAATGAGAGATGTATAGAAATTTAACTGGTGCGCTTGCTCCCTATTGAAGGTCGTTTGCAAGTTTTTCGATGGCGCCTACTCTGATAAACCTTTGATAAACATACATCCTGGTTACAATCCATATTTACAGGAAACATATTACCGACCGATAAATATTTGGATACGTATATGATTTGGATCAGAGCAGTGAACTGATTCCTGATCAAAGGATCGAAACGTCAATATGTCAAAAATATTCTTGAGCTGAAAAAATGGTTATTTCTGAGATTGGGGTCAAGTGTTCGATAGGGACGTGTTCTGTAGTTTCTAAATTTTGTGTACAATACCTAATCCACCATAGAAAAAAGAAAATCTCTGTTCTACAACAGTATTATTTCAGTGATTTGAAATATTAGCGTGAACTGGTGTGAATAAATTCTAAGGTGAGTACCAGTTACCATATCTGCCTATTATGATTCATTCTTTGTTCTGTTTC